TTTTGCATGCTATTTATCCCTTTCTCCTCCAAAGCACAGCATGTCATAAGACCAAAAGAGAATGAAAAAAAGAAAAAATTCTAAAACTTTTTTTGAAAAAAGAAAAGTGAAACTTAGAACCCATATCATTTAATTGCTTTTAACAAAGTTTGTCACATATCAAAACCTTAAGTACATTATTATTTTAAAACATGCCCTACCTAGAGCAAGTAATAAATGTAAATGACCGTAATTGCATAGGCTAATAATGAATCAGAGAAAGGTAATAGTGTAAAGCTGAATTAATAGACCAGATGTGAGCAACAATCATTTTGGGGGGATGGGGGGGGTCTCAGGAATAAGAGTACGCATTCTAATATATGAACTGACATGGCCCATACTCCATAGAGCGTGGGATTCCACACATTGTCTGTGAACTGGTGCTAACAGAATGAGAGTCTCTCTAATTATGAAATATAGTGTCCTTTTTCTTTAGCACATCCCACTGGTGTGTGCCACCATAGCTGGTGGGAATTCCTATTCTAAAGGGATTTCCCTTTATAATTCATTCAAATACTGATGTCAGGAGACAGCTATTCATGTGAAACCCATGTTGTATGGAGTTTTTCTTGTGGGCATGTGATTTATTGTAATAGTCCATAATACAGGATATAATAAAATATGTTTTAAATATATTTCAGAAATCATCACTTGGGCAATTAAAAACAAATATTTTTAAATATACTGCAAAAGACAGACTGTGAGTGGCTGTTAAAAATAGGGAGGAGTGTAACTGAAAGACGCCAGTGGATGATGATGTCCTCTGAACACACCTAGGCACAGATTTTCTGAACACAATGAAACTGAGCTCTCTAGTCCCAGGCTATCTTTGAGAATTTAACAAATAAATGCCACATTTGCTTTCATCTGTTAGTCTTCAGTGATGGAACTTAGTGCATCCATTTGAATGTAGCTCAAGGTAGAACTTACGTAAAACAAAGTCCGCTGTTTGCTTTTTCAACTCTTCCACTTTCAAAATAAACAATTTTAAATTTAGTTTAAAAAAAATTCTCTCTCTACTAATGCTTACTAGTTAATATGGATTTAAATATGCTTCTAGATAAAACAGTACAATGAATCAGAGCAGGTTTATTTGACTATTAATATTTTTACTCCACAAACGTTTTTTCCAGTAACAGAAACACTCTCTGACATCTCCAACTTACAGTATACAACATTGCTTTTATTTTTTGGCTTGGAAAATCTGTCACCAGAATTCCTGGCTAAAATCTGCCCTCTCTTTCCTCTACCTTCAACTTGGAACTTGGCTCCCTCCTTCAAAGTACAAAGCTTCCTATAAAAGCAGAAGCTAACACAGGAACATTTTATTTTATTAACTCCTACTCCATGCAGAGTGTTGCAATCCCTCTCTGTCTCTGAAACTTCTTTATTAACATATGCCTAGAATGTGTCCCAGAAGACGTGGCCAAAAAAATCACCACATACTCTCTTGAAAATTCCTGGTGCACATTCACATACTAGATGTTCTTCAAAGTCCGGCAACGAACAAAGAAACCAAACAAAAGAAGGCAGTAACAAGAGGCTTTTCCTTGTGTGAGACAGCAGTAGCCCACCATATACAGATTTGCTCCTTCCAAGAGAGCTACTATTATAACTTCTTGGGAACAGTATCCATTGGCACATCCTAAGTTGACCATAGCCGAGGCTATCTCCTACAAAACCAAGTGCAAGTAAGGTTTGGAAAATGTCCAAAATTAGGCCCTCAAGCTCTGGGGTTCAAGTACCTTCTAAATCATAAGTATCTCTGAAATCTTTTCTAGACACATCTTGATGAAATGCCTTGGTCTGAGCCCCCTTGAATCTTAGATCACTTAGCAGCATCATGCCTATTTCTTAGGCTGTTCAGAAAAGATGTCCACTTTGTCACAAGGGCGCACCAAAGCCAGCGTGCGATTATTGTGGACTGGCTAGAGGCAGATGCAACAAATGGAGGCAACAGAAATAATGACAGGGTCTTGCCTCCTCCTCTGCTTCTTCCTATCATTTGCCTAAATAAATAAAGGAATCAATAAATGTACATGTATGTACACACATACTAAATGTTATATATATACATATATACATATATATGTATATATATCCCACAGTAAATAAATAAGGGGTACATGATATGCCAGGGGTAAAAAATACCACAAAGAATAGATGCCTCTTATGGGATTCCTTTCTCACCAATGGAGAACATTTTCTTTTCATTTTTTTTTTTAAATAGAGAACATTTTTAAGAAAACTCTAGAGGGCAGAAAGACAGGAACAGGTTTGCAAAACAACATTCTCCAGAAAACAGCCTGGGTCTCTCAAGCCTGGCACTCTCAAGCTTAAAATAGTCTTAGAATTCGTGTGTGTGTGTGTGTGTGTGTGTGTGTGTGTGTGTGTGTGTGTATGTGTGTGATCAGATTCCAAGGAGCTGGAGTTTCAGATGGTTATGATCCATCCAACATGGATGATGGGAACCAAACTCTGGTTCTCTGCAAGAGAAGTATGTGCTCTTAACCACTGAGTCACCTCTCCAGCCTCCAAATATTGCAAATATTCTTAGAATTCTTATAACCAACTAAAAAGATAATTTCTATCTGGTATGACTCTTTCCCTTCAACATGGAGAGGAACTGTGTGGTTCGCTGAGGTCAAGTTCAAATCAAACAGAGTTATGTTTATATTGAAACAGTGCATACTTTAAAAAAGAAAAGAAAGATCAATGGGAAGGAGGGAAGGTAGAGTAGGAGGAAGTTACAGGAGGCCTGAGGGGAAGAAAGAGACACACCCAAACAGAGATGGACAAATAGGAGAGAAAAGGTTTGTGTCATGTTCAAATTGAAACTTTGTGGAACATTATTTTTAACGTTTTTGCATCTTCAAGTCACAATCTGGAGATTTCCTGAAGCAAAATGGGAGATTTACAAAAAAAACAAAAAACAAAAAAAAACAAATGTAGAAAAATCTATCAAAATGTTGAGTCATGATTTTACCTCTTCCCATGTTTGTGTAGTTATAAAGTGTTAAGCTAAATGAAGGCTTATAAACTATTTAGAAAAAGAAGAAAGTTAGGAAGAAGGAATGTGGCTAGCCCAAGGTCACATATCCTCTAAACTGCAAACTGTGATTCAATCTTGTGGTTCTAATGTTTGCCTGACATCTGCTCTTCCCCCACAAAACCAGAGATTTGTGGATTTATTCCCTCATTTCTGATGTTTGCATTTCATTCTCACTATGAAATGGGCACATGCTTATTTTTTTTTCTAAGAATTGAAGAACATGAATTCCAGTAATCAATGGATTGAAACAGATTCATACCAACATGTACTCTTGCATGATTTTGGAATGCCAGTCCTTGTAGCTTCCAGAGAACAATGGATCAAAATGAGAATGGCGTGAGACTGCAGGACTCTAAACACAGGGGAAAAACAGCTTCAAGATCCTGAAGATGAGTGAATTTCCACCTGGAGTTTTATATTCAGACATACTACTTGTTACCAAGATAAGAGATTGCAGACTGTCACCTCAAGGCCACTCTCACATATACTGTCTCTTCTTAGATTAAATCATAGAAAGATCAATCTTCTAAAGTAAATAAGTGAAGAGAGAACATACCCAAGAAAGGGGGCACTCAGCATGCCCACAAGGCAAAGCACTCCCCCCCACCACAACAGAGAAGTGCCAGAAGGTTCTGGAAGCCATTGCTTCAAGGGGAAAATATTAGAGTGCTTAATATAGTTGAACAGAGGAAGGGATATTTATAGAATGGGTGAGGACTGAGAGATGATTTAGTGTTAAGTATACAAGTAAACAGAAAAATTTAAGAAAACTAAGCAAAAAGATGTATAGGAAGAAAGAAATCTCAAGTGCATTATGATACGGTTATAATGGGGTGGTGACATCTTGAAATTTTGTTTATGTGCAAGGGACAGAAAGTCAAAACTAGTTTCCTCATTAGGAAGTTAATAGGTACCTCTAAAACAGGAAAATCTCGATGATGCAATAGGAGACATTTTCTTACAAGAAATTAAAATGATTGCACCTAGGAAAGGCAATGGAGTAGAAGTTGTGGGACTGTTACATATTTATTTATTTATTCATTTATTTGAAACAACTCTCATCTAGATTTATTTCTATGTAAATTTATAACTTTGATTTTGAAAAACTAAAAAAAAATCCATCAACAAAAAAGCAAACCTAGTTTCTACAATGACCCACATCTCACTCAACAGTTCTGGAAACTTCTAAATCATTCCTACTTCTCACAAGCTAATTTTATCTTGATTTTTCTAACCCGGTCATATAATGCCACTCATTACTGCATAGCCATTTCTACTTATGTCATTCATAAATGTATTTCATTGACTCAATGAACATTATAGATGATACAATTGATTAATGCCTCTGAAAGCTGACAGCATGCATGTGGCTCTTGAACACCAGAATTTTTCACACAAAACAAACATATACTGTTCCTTTCTACTAGTTCTTGAACCTTCAATGAAAGTCAGCCCATGTATCCATAAGCTATTTAACGGGTAAATCACACAAACACTAGTGTAAATAGATACCACAGTTAACCCACCTTAACATATTCTCTAATGTTTAAACATATTGTATCAATACTTTCCCACTGGCTTTCTGACTCAACAATAATCAATGCTTAAAATATAAGTGTCTCATTAAAGTAGCATTTCCAACATAGAATTGCCACAAAAATTCTGTTCTCCAAATTTTGATAGCTTACAAAGGCAATCCTGTATTGAAGACTGATACAGTCAGAATGAAGATTATATAACCATCAAGGCATTTACCCTATACAGGAATCTTCAGAAAAGCTTTGTTACAGTTATTTAAAAGAAGCCCATCAGAGAATCTGAAATTCTTAGAAACAAGGCACATAATGTTCTTTCTGTTTTGAAAATTCTACACAGCAAATTATTTTTTCAGGAAAAGAAACAAACTTACCTTTCACAAGCTCGGACAGTCCATGCGGCAATTATCCATAATGAGATACTAAAAACCAAGAGCACAGTTCCTGGGCATATAGTCATTAAAGTCTTCATAACAAAACGTGTATTGAAGTTTATCTTATTAAGTGCTCCAATGCTTCTAGAGGAGGCATCAGTGAAAAGTTTGCTATGTAAAAGCATGACTCTGGCAATCAGATAGAGTCTTAAGAACATTGGTATAGATAAAATAATATCCACATCAGCGGTGGTTGTGGATGGGGCATAGGAGAAGGCAAGCCGTGCCGTCCATGTGAACGTGTAATTCCCAGGTATAGGGTGAATAGCACACACCAGTATTTCCAAGCAGATGAAGAAAATACGCTCATAAGTCATGGCTATTCTCCAGTCATCTGCTCCATTGTCCACCATGAATAACTGAAAAAATAAAGTAGAAAATCAACTTCAGTATGACATGAATGGTCCACAAGTGTTAGTGCAGATCTTAAAAAGACACAACAGGTGACACTGAGCAATCGTGTAGCTAAACGCTTCCAGATTTTAAATTCTGGCCAGGTAGACCATTTACACAAAAGGGCAATGGTACCAAAGGGGAATTTCATTTTGCAAAAATTCAAATGAAAGAGAACTTGCTATATTGGAGCTCAAAATATTTTGGAGTCTGAGCTACTGGACAATAATGTAAGTGACATTACTTTAAAATAAAGGGCTCTTTGACCTCCTCCTCAGAGGAAGTAAAAATGGATTTGGTATGACAAGTTGGTCTCCTCTTTAAGAGACCATATTTAAACCCAGATACAATTCTATTTGGGGTGTCTCTGCAGTCAGTTATACCCTATAATGCACCAGTGCATCAACATTCTTAAGAGGAATCTTATTCTTGGCCTCCATGAAAAATGATGAGAAAGCACAGATAAATGTGGCAGAAATATTTCTTCTAGTTTCTTCACTATAATTTTATTTTCTTACTTAAATTATTCCTTTACTTTCAATCTTTCCTTAATAAGGATTCCTTTTATCAAAATCATTTTTCAGCAAAATATAATTAAAGAAAGAATGCCTTTCTCTTTTCCCTAGCTGTTTGTAAACAAGTATACTGGCCCCAGCAGTTCTTGAACCACCAGAGGCATTTGGAAATGTCTGTTCATTTTTCTGGCTGCCATGATAACTTGTGGGGGCTACTGGCATTTTGGTCCAGGAAGTCTTGGGTGCCAACCATGCTGGGATGCTGGAGTCCCACACATTAGTACTAGGAAGACCTGTATGCCCGGATGACAACAGTGCTCCCCCACCAGAGAAATGTCACGTTCTCTGCCTTCTGCTAAGTAACAAGCTTAAGTAGTAAGCACGTGATGAAAATGACCCAAGTGAGAAGAGTGCCTTCCAGGTTAAGTGAGCTGCAGAGCAGGTGGTGGAAATTTCCATGTGTTTGCATCCTCTGTGAAGTCCTCTTCTACAGGCAGGAACACTCCCCGCACCCTTGGGGGCATTGGGGCAGATCCTTGTTCTTGCTTTGTGATCCTGTTCTTGATTGTTACTCCTTTCCTATGATTCCAACTGGTCACTGCCTTAGTTTGCAAAAATAGTAATTTGAGGACAAAATTTGCCTCTTCTTTGTGGTACATGATAAAAAGAGATAGAAAACCAGTTGACATTTTTATTAAAAAGTGTGCCAGAATTTGGTCTTTCTACTTTCTTTACCAACTTAGATCTGAAGGACACAGCAGTTTAAAAAACAAAAATCTGTCTCCAAGGGGGTGAGAATTACCATTGATTCAAAACAATCTTTAAGATACCTTCAAGGTCACCTGTTTCCTCTCTGTATACACTCATCTCTCTCCCCAAGTACCAAAGGAAATTCTATTTTGTATTTCAACCACAAACATACCCATAACTGTATCCTTTCCTCGTCCCCCTAGTCTCACTCTCTCTCTCTCTCTCTCTCTCTCTCTCTCTCTCTCTCTCTCTCTCTCTCTCATCCATAGCAATGTGATACCAAAATCTAGGTCTTCTGCACTGACAGCCTAGTTCCTGCATCCCTTTTACTCTTATACAATAGTTCATATCCTTACTATTTACCAAAAACAATACAAAAGTTAGAAAACAGAAGCAGGACCAGCTGTCTGCACTGGGTTGAGTTTCTTTTCACACTTCTCCTTCAAGTCCACACTCCCCAGGGGGATTTTGCTGCCATTAACCCCCCAGCCACTCTAGTGAAAGTCACGAAAGATATCTTCATTATGAAACACAGTCTTCTTGTCTTAACTTTTAGTGTACTTATTCTGTCATTCCTTCTTTATGGAAAAAGATCTCTTTCGTGGGTTTTTGTGAAGCTTTGCTCTTTTCAGCTCTGCCACTCTCAGTGACTTCAGTTTCCTCCCCGACTTTGGTCTCACTGCTCCCCTGGGGTCCATCTCTAACTCTGAGTGTACCTTCCTGGGTGATATCATCCTTACTCCCCTGTACCAGATTCTGCCTTTTAGAAACCATTCTCCACTGTCTAATGGTCTCTTTAAAATGTAAACTATATAATTCTATTACTAACAAGATCAACACCATTCAAAATCCCTCCACTGCCTGATGGTAGAGTGAGATCTACATCCACAGCAAGCAAAGCATTTCCCAGTGTGGTTTTGCCTATTTCCAACTTCACTACTTATTACTCCCTATATTTCCCTATGGTTGCAAATTACAGAGCATACTACCTACATTCCTTCTGTTTCCTCTACATTCTGTCCTGTGGCCTAGAAAGCCTTCATCTAGAAAATTCTCATTTTTTCAAGACCAGATTTCATATCACCTCCTTGGAATGGTCCAACAAAATATAAACACTTCTTTTGCCGCCATGGTTAGATGTATCTCTTACTCATACTGTCACAGAGGACAATGGGACTGTCACCTCTTTCTCTGAGGCTCCTTAAGGACAGGAGCCACATCTACCTAGCAAAGAGTAATAAGTACTTGTTACTTGATATTTCTCACTTAATAATGACCATCCTGATTACTATAAAAGTCTTGATCATCAAATAAATATGCTCATGGAACAGAAGAATCCCAAAGCATGATACAAGCGAAACCTACACCATTCTTCAAATTAATACCAAACATACTGTACCAATAAGTCATTAGAGGTGTATAATTCTATAATTACACAGGAAGTTCAGATAGCTTTCTTTTTTTGTAATTTGCTGAGGGATAAATATTCTAGTCCATAGTTTCTTTGTTATCAGGGGCCTTTATAACTGAAATCATATTATTTTGGGTTTGTTTCATTTTATATATATATATATTATATACATACATACACATTTAATCATTTCATTAAGTCATGAAGAACTATTTTCTCCTACTCACTGCACAATCCCACCATCAGTGCTGATTTTTTATTCATTTATTTAATAAACTAGGCAGAGCACAAAACACTATGTGCCAGTGTTGTGTTACTTTCTAGCCATATTATAGAATTTACAGTAGACAAAGCAGTAGACTAACTTTCACTGAGAAAGAAAAACAATGTCCAAAAGCAGACTTGAAGCAATTTAATAAAGTAATTATGCCTTTGTACATTGCGCTGAAGGAAACAAAGAAGAGATGAGATAGAGAGGAGTAAATCAGAGATGACAGCAGATGTGGTCATCAGGGAACACTTTGAGAGGAGACCATCTAAGGCGGTAGATAAGGAAAGAACTTGTCATGTAAAGAAAACCCCAGGCAGAGCACATGGAAAGGCCCTGCCTTATCAAAGCTCGATGTGCTTAAAAAATAAAGGAATACCAGAATGGCAAAGACTAAATGACCCAGGGGAAGAGTGAAGGAGGGTGAGTTTGAAGGTACAAATTATGGCCCAATGAGCAGACCATGTTGGAATTGGCATGGAGATTGGATTTCATCCCCAGTACATGGGAACCCACTGAAAGTATGAGGGAGGGATGCACAGTTATCTGATTTACAGTTTACAGGGCCCGTTCTCCCTGGTATGGAGGACCTAGAGTAAAGAAAGGCAAGTGTGGAAGGAAGGACACAAATTAAACAGCACCATTGCAGTTGAATGGGTATAGTATCCTTGTGGTCTAGCCCAGGGGTTGTCATAGAAATGGAGGCAGTAGCTGGGCATAAGGCTTGTCATCTTGCTAGAATATACTGATTAGTCAATGTGGAAACAATACAAAAACAAAAAAAAGACTATAGATGGCTACTGAGATTTTACCCAGAAAATATAGAGTGGATGGTAAGCACTTTTTGAGAACATTTCCTACGCTCTGCAGAGTGGGGAGGGAAGAAATGAAAAGCACTATTTTGGCCTCTGACACCTGAGTGTAGATGCCAGGTGTAAATAAGATATATAAGTCACAGCAAGAAGCCTGGCGCATTGAGATACATTTGGGAGGCATCAGTATTTATGTGGTTTGTTAGATCAAATGAAAAACAAGAGAAAGTAAAGAGAATAGAACATGATAGTACTCAAGTTTAAGTCCTGAAGACCCCCAAAGGTGGGGGCCACCTGGAAGGTCAAGCCATTAGAGAACTGAAGTACGGCAGTCTGTGAAGCAAAGAGAGAAGTGTCATCCTAGGAGTCAAGGGCATGTGCTGTCAATTGCAAAATGTAAAAGAATCTTTACCAGATTTAAGGAAGCATTTATATATTCAATAATCTCTACAGAACACAAAATCATTCTAAATATTACAGCCATTCAGCCAAATATTAAAATCCAACTGCGGTAATATCACCTTTCATTTCATATAAACTCTATAATATATATGATCTATTTTAAGCTCATAGGCAGAATTAATCAGAGCTGATCTTAAAGCATATCTATGCTCATTGTTTTATTCTGATATTTTAAAGTGAGTAACTATTTTGGAGAAACATTAATTCTAGGGCTGTGAATAGTGGCATCTAAAGTAACATGCAGACATAACAGAGGACCTGGAGCATTGCAGAGGGGTTGAGCTATATGATCAGGTGACCGGCTGTTAAAGGAAAAGGTTCGCTATAGAGGCCTTAACTACTTCCTGCACGTGCTTCCCTCTCAATGATTCTGCAAGGTCCCGTGCTCAGGGACATTATCTTACACATCCTGGAATTCCTTTCTAGACAACCATCCAGGAGACTACTCAGTACAAAGCTGGGGCCTATTCACTGCCTATTTCAGTCACATGTTCATTAAGGAATTCTGAAAAGGAAGAGCAACAAAGAAAGTCAGCTATAATTGATTTTAAAACAAATTAATAATTAAAACCATGTGACACTAACACATAAAGGGCAACAGAATAAACCAATGAATCTAAAATATACCTGGTACAAGGGAGACTTTGGACCAATACCAAGGTAGACTATTGGTGGGGAAAGTATAATTTCTTGGAAAATTGATGTAGAGACAACTCAGTAGCCATCTCAAGAAAAATGAAGTTGAGTC